TCAACCAAAAGCACATATATTAAGTGAAAAATTGATTTGTGGTTCACAAAGAGATGCTAGCATCCTAGTTTATGTTTGACAGGCTTATGGTCCTCATGTTTAAGCTGAAAGACTTTGAAATGCCTTTTCTTCCTTAAGCTTTTTAGGATGTAACCTTCAAAAAGGTTCCAGTTAACATTCTTTCAAAGAAATATAATTACCTTACAAAAAACTTCCAGTGTTATAATCTTGCACAACATCTTGAGAAATTTAGAAACAATTTAAGAGACAAAGTGCAGCGAGAAAGGAGAGGGCAGCCTTTTACTTTGAGTATAGCGATTATATCATGTAAGCATATTAGTCTTGGTAGAAATAAATATAAAAGCATGATTAAAATGGGCACTAAAATTTATATTGTTTTCAAATTTATATTTGTTTTAATTAAAATGAGAGGATGGCAAGCTAATGGTGTTTTTAAAATGAATCTCCTTTTTAAATATTTTATGACAAATATGTTTACAAGAGAACATTTCCTGTAATTTTTCAGGTAAATAAAAATGTATGAATCTATTATGAAAATAATACTGAATTGTTCCATAATACTTGCACTTACTAAACTTACTAATAAACAGGGAAGAAAAGTTTTCTTTATGGTCATCTTTTGGGATCTGGTTGATTTTGACAAATTTACTTTTGTTCTCCAGTGTGGTGCTCCTCCTGCTTATTTGATTTTGCTTGATTGGTATAATGGCTCCTAGTTCAATATATCTGAAGGCCAGGCTTCCTTACACTAGGGAAGCCTGCCCTACCCTAAACATTTAAATTTAAACTGGATGGGCAATCTGTGTCCACCCAGTTCACATGAGTTTGTATAGCACACCATTGTAGTTGCCCAACTGGGATTTATGGCTAGAATCAAAGGAATCTTGTGGAATATACATATATACTATTCCTATTCCCATTTTCTCCCTTAACAGAATAACAGAGTTGGAAGGGACCATGAAGGTCTACTTGTCCAACCCCTGCTTAGGCAGGAAACTCTACACCACTTCAGAAAATTGGTTCTTCTTAAAAACATCCCATTTTGGAGCATTCACAACTTTTGGAGGCAAGTTTTTCCACTGAATAATTGTTATAACTGTCAAGAAATTTCTCCTTAATTCTAGGATCAAATAATTCTGTTCTTAATTAGTCTCCATGCATTGCTCCTTGTCCTACCTTCGGGTGCTTTGGAGAATAGCTTAACTCCCCCTTCTTTGTAGCAGCCCCTGAAATATTGTAACACTGCTATCATGTTTCCCCTAGACCTTTTTTCATTAAACTAGACACACCCAGTTCCTACAACTATTCTTCATAAGTTTTAGCCTCCAGTCCGCTAATCATCTTTGTCACTCTTCTCTGGACTCTTTCTAGAGTCTTCACATTTTTTTTTACTTCATGGCAACCAAGACTGGATGCAGTATTCCAAGTATGACCTTACCAAGGCATTATAAAGTGGTATTAACACTTCATGTGATCTTGATTCTATCCTTCTGTTTATGCAGCCTAGAACTTCGTTGGCTTTTTTGGCAGCTGCACATTGCTGGCTCATATTTAAATAGTTGTCCACTAGGACTCCAAGATCTTTCTCACAATTTCTATTATTGAGCAAAGTACCACATATACTATACCTGTGCATTTTGTTTTNGATGAGAGCTAAATAGCTTGAAATAGATCTATACTAGTCTCCCTTTATTTATTTATCAGCACAAATACAACATATATATATATATACACACACACCAATAAATGAATCTGAAAGTCTTCCTCCTCCTTCTCTCCTTTCCCTTCTAGTATTGATTCCTATGTATCAAAATGTTAAACAGTAACACTTATAAATAAACAGTCTCAAAATAGAAAAAAATACAAGAAACTTGCAAAATATAACTTTTCATCCTTAGTAAACATAGAATGCATATTACCATGATAATAATCCCAGATAAAATTAGAATGAGATGAATAGATTAATTATGATTCTCTGGAAGAGTAAACAGAATAAGGCCAACTTTAACACTGATTTACAAATTGTGCTTCTATTAATGAGAAAGTGGAGACAAATGTGTTCTTCAGTTTTAAAAAAAGTATGTTTTATGAGAGTTTGCTTCTTTTTGAATTAGGTTACCAACCAGGGAAATTCCTGCTCTCTCATGCTTCCAAAGTGACTGAAAACTGCTAATGAAAGAAATTTATTAGATTCAAATTGTAGGGCATAAATGGATGTTTGCCTGCACACAAATAATTAGTGGATGTGAGAATGTGGACAAATAAACAACATTTTGGTGTGGCACCATTTATAGAGAAGATCAGAGAAGGCCGACTCCACTACTATGCACATGTCCAGAAATCAGCACCTTCCACCATGGCCAAGACTCCCTACCAACTAGAAGTCATTGGCCAGTGACGTCGCAGATGTCCAAAATAGAGATGACAAAATACCATCAACAAAGATATGCAAGCCTTGGGTCTGTACCCTGGAAATGCAGCTGACTGTGCAAAGTGGTGTTCAATGATCCAAAAACCAGCCCCTGCACTTGTGGGAATACACTGGGAAGAAGAAAGAATGTGGACAAATATAGGGATGATTAAAGCTATAAATGATTAGCAGTTGAAACAACTATATATGACTAATATTGAATGAAATATATTTTATATGGTGAGTGCTTGTTGATTGTGCCTAAATATCTAGATCAGTGATGGAAAACCTTTTTTGGTTTGCCATGCCACCAACGGGGGAGCACAGGGGGGGGTCATGCACTGGTGTGCCACATCCGTAATGCTATACCCCTGCGCAATCCAGCATGTGCCCACATGCACACAATCAGTAACCCCACTGCTTTTCCCATGGTTGTTTCACCCTCCCCAGGCTCCAGAAGCTTTCTAGGAGCCTTGAGAGGTGAAAACAGCCCCCGCCCCTGTACACCCTCTGGAGGCCTCAGGATTTTCCATGAAGCCTCTGGAGGGCAAAAAACAGACCCCCGGGTAACCAGGAAGTTCAGAAATTGTGACTTCCGGTTTGGCTGTAGGGCTGATTTTCAACCTCCGGAGGCTTCAGGGGCCTTAAAGGCTCCGGAGGGTGAAAAGTGGCCCTTTGCACAAACTGGACTTCAGGTAGAAGCCTCCTAAAGGCCCCTGAAGGCTCTGGAGGTCAAAAATTGGCCCTATGGGGAACCCGGAAGTTCAGGAATGGCAACTTCCAGTTTGTCCATAAGGCCATTTTTCACCTTCCGAGGTGCAAAATGGTCCTATAAGTTCATTCCTGAAGTTCCTGTTTCCCCATAGGGCCGATCTTTCATACTTTGGAGGTTTCAGGGACGGCGAAAAATGGCCTCAAAAGCAGGCCGAAGTCAGTGAACCTATGGCACAAGTGGCACACATGCCATAGGTTCGCCATCACAGCTCTAGATTTATATTGCTTCAATAAAATGGGCTATATACTATATATAGCATAATACATCCGAGTGTTAGTATAATAATAATAATAATAATAATAATAATAATAATAATAATAATAATAATAANCACGGAATATATTTGTAACCAATCGATACGCTTTCTACAAGATGTAACAAAAGATTATTCTTTTTTTTGTTTGTGTGTTTTTGTTTAACTAAAATAATAACCCCCCCAAAAAAATAGATACAATAAAATGGATTTATATGTTGTCTTATCAAATTGATGCAATGAATAATATTTGTAATAGTCAGAATCACTAAGGCTTTAATCTTTCTAGTTATCTTGTCAAAGTTTCAGGTTTACATCTTATCAGAAAGATGGTACAAGTAGGTCACATTTAGTTTCTTTAATGTAGCATTTACATAGAAATGTCACAGCTTCAACTCTCTAAAATGTTCTAGGTGGTCCCTTTCACACATTTTCATTATAAAGCAACTCTTCTCTATCTCTCTGTTCCTTCTCTCTACAAATGTTTTTCTGTCAGTTTTGTCAATGATTCTGTTTGGAAATGAGGCAACATGATGCTATAAAGCATGGCAAAAGATGTATTTGCATGATTTAGCTTTAGCTTCTGTTTGATATTTTGCTTCAGCTTTCACTTAATACCCAGTAAGACGGTGCTGTGTTTGCCCACAATGTTGGAAATAGAAGTATGCATTTCTGACTTATCCCTGCAGAAGTGTTCGTGGGAAGCTAAAATGTAATTATAGATTATAAATTATTACCTAAATTCTTCATCTCCAGTTTGTTATTAAAATAAATGTTCAATGTATTAGGGGCTCAATATCAGTACTGTGAATAATGAATAGAAGCACACTACCATGAATGCTTTCTACATTTGAAGTGTTTCACATGTGACATAGTTTGTCATAATTTTAACTGGACAAATATAAGACATAAGAAATATTGTTAACAAATAGATGTTAACAAGTCTATAACATATTGCTTTAACATTTTATTTCAGCAGTGGCAACACTTAATGAAATATTATATGTACGTTTGTTTATTTATAAGTTTAGAAACTGCCTGTTTCCAGAGGCTCTAGGTGGTATAAAAAAAATCAAAACACTAACAAAGAATAATATAATGAAAACAATTAAACAATAAACATCAACAAACAACAATAACAGAGTTTTTCCACTTCAGCCTAATTATCAAAGCCAGGCAACAAACATTTATTTATCTGCTTAATTTTTTAAAAAAGCCAGCTTTAATATATTCTCTGGAAGTTCATTAAACTGTGGGCTAATTTTTCTCATGGTGTAAGTTGATGCACAACAGGTGAGACCCACAGAGAATGCCTAGTCTGTATCTTCTTCACTATGTATTATCTCTCTGATAGGAAGCATTCTTCAGAAAACATTTTTTTCCAGTAAGATTGGATGGTATAATTTACAGTAAAAATATTGGGTTTCTGCCTGGATGGTCTCTTGTGACGAGCCGAAGGACAGAGAATGGAAGTNAATTTTAATTGGGTTTGGGATATTTTATTTAATTTTTTAAAAAAACTTTTGTATTATGTCTTTCTTTTAATGTTGTATGCCGCCCTGAGTCCTTGGGAGAAGGGCGGCATATAAATCTAATAAACCTAAACCTAAACCATCTAGATTCTAGCTTTGGGCCAAAGAAGGTGGTTCAAATGTGTAAGGAATAGATTTGGAATGAACGCCCTCTTCAAGCCAACACGTTTTGGAATGGGTTGGTTTTGCAGAATTCATCATTGGGATTCCACCTCTGCTAAACATTTGGATTCTTGGTTGCTGCAGTCTACCGGACATCTTCAGTGAAAGCATTCTCAAATGCAGAAAAGAGGGAGCGTCTTAGGGTCTCTCTGAAATTCTCACCCATAAAGACATAGAAGATGGGATTGAGGCAGCTGTTGATAAACGCCAAGCATGATACCAAGGGAAATCCAATATACAGCACGATCTTCATGTTGCATTGTGTTCCATAGTTCATCTCAATGAAGAGGAAGACGTAATAGGGGAACCAGAGGACAAAAAAGGGGACAATCACTGCTGTGATGACTGTGTAGGGCTTTTTGGACAGAGACAACTGAGTCCTTCTCAGTTTCAAGAGAATCGCCCCGTAGCAGAGAAGAATAACAGAGAAGGGAATGACGAAGGCAAAGATGAACCGGCTGATGACCATTGCAGAACTCTTGACCGCTTCAAACTCACCATAAGAGTTAGAGCAACCAGAAGAATTCTTGTCAGTCGAATTTACTTTTGCTTGCCTGCAATACATAACTGGAGAACACAACACCGCAGCCAAGATCCACACACCCAAGGCCACAAAAGAAGCCAACCGAGGTGTTCGGTGATTCTGAGCCCAGACCGGATACCAGACAGAAATGCAACGGTCAATGCTGATGACCATGAGGAGATAAACACTGGCATAGAGGGTGAGGAAGATGAAGACGCCCTTGATCTTGCACAAGACCGGGTTCATGTTCCACCAGAATCCCAGAGCACGAGCCAAAAACAGGAAAAAGATGAAGACAATGTCAGCAATGGCCAAGTTGAAGAACCAGACCGTGTTGACGCTCTTCTTCATTCGGAAGCCAGTGATGAAGATGACCAGCCCGTTGCCAAGGACCCCCATCACTAACGCAAGACTGTAGATCACCAGAGAGGCAATCTGCATCTTGTCCTTCAAGGAACTGAAATCCAAGGATTGAGGTTCACACGTTGTGTTGCTCATTTCCTCTGACCAAGCCAGTTCTTCACTGGCGCCTTCTCCCTTTGAAGCAAAGACATGAGGCATGAGAGTTGGCATGAAAAAGCAGAGGAGATAAAATGGTAGCTGCTACCCACCCTTAATCGTTTGGAGGTCAAAAGATCACAAACTGGGCAAGGATATTTCCTTCTTTAGTTGGGAGGACAATCAGGTGTGTTATGTTCAAATGTAAGACCTTGCTCGGTGGACCATATCAATATATCTATAGGCAGCAATGTTTTTCTCATTTAGAGAAGGGCTCCAATTTTCACACCGGTTGAAAAGTTTCACATTCTAAGGCCGTAATGCCAAACCGATGGCACGTGGGCTGGAAGTAGCACGAAGAGCCATCTCTCCCGGCATGCCAACTGTCACCTGTTGCTCTTCTGGGTTCTGGTGTGACCAGCTAGCTGGTCTTCACACACGCATGCATGCCAGAAACCAGACAACCAGGTGACCAGCATGTATGTGTATGCTGGAAACCAGAAGCTCAGCTTCCTGGCACACACATGTGCACGAGGGAGCTGCTCTTTTGGTTTCTGGTGGTTCCTCATGCATGTATATGCACTCCCGTTTCGGCACTTGGTACCGAAAGGGTTCGCCACCATGGCTCTAAGGCAGTGTTTCTCAACCTTGGCAACTTGAAGATGTCCGGACTTCAAGTTGCCAAGGTTGAGAAACACTGCTCTAAGGCAAGATCCAAAATCATCNTTTTTATTAGATAAACATTAAAAACATTGGACATAATGCAACATTTCTGGCATAAACATTTCCATATAATGATTGGATCTTACAATTACATTTTTTTTCCATTACATAGATATGTGTACTTGGTCAGATTACCTGACCATTGATCTTTTCTTTTACATAATTACTAACCATACAAATACATAACTGATTCCTACCTATCACATCTTTTTAATAGCCTATTTTCCAATTCTTAACTTGTTCATGTTTTTCTGTCCCGGCCTTTCTTCCCTCATTTTTAACCATCGGTACCATTTGTGCCAGACTTCATGATATTCCATCTCCTCTTTGTCTTTGAGCTCTAGAGTCAATCTGTCCATTTCTGTGCATGTCAGTATCTTACTTATTATTTCTTGTTCCAAGGGAGTCTCTGTATTTTTCCTTCTGTGCAAAAACCAATCTTGCCACTGTTAAAATATGCTGCATTAAATATAGTCCACCTTTGCCATGTTTTTTCTTTTGTGACCCTAGTAGAAATAATTCTGATCTCAAATCCATCCTTTGATTTAGCATCTCTTCCAAATACTTTATCTGGTGCCAAAAGCCCTAGCTTTTGTACACTCCCAAAAATATTGCCTATTGATGGGATTGAAGAATGATATATACCTTTGTAAATATGATTATTTTTTAAAAAAATGTGTCTATTTTTATTTATAGCCTACTGTAGCTGTGCATACATACAAATACTGTACATATATGTCTACAATATACTTAGGATATAAAAATTCCCTTCTAACACTTATGGGTGATCTGTGTGTTCCTTAAACCCAGTGTCAGAGTTCCAAATAACATCCAAAATTAAATCAGAGTCCAAGGCAAAGTATTACTCAAAGTTCCAATTTATTAAGAGAGTGACGTTGGCACATCTGTGAATAAATTGGAACTTTGAGCAATACTTTGCCTTGGACTCTGATTTAATTTTGGATGTTATTTGGAATCCTGACACTCAGGTTCTTTACCAGAGCCCTGTAAGTAAGAGTAGGAGAGAGGGTAAGGAGGAGGAGAAGAGAGGAGGAGTGGGGAGAAGGGAAGGGAAAAGGGAAAGAGGAAGGATAGGAGGAAAGGAGACGGTAGAGAAGGGAGGTTGAGAAGAAGGAAGGAGCAGGGTTGTTGCGAAACAAGATGGCAATATGGAGTGGCAAGAAAGTGACCCCAACTGTGTTTTCTATATTTGTAAGAAGATTGTGATAAATGTCAATACTTAATAGATATATGTTAATAGTATTTACAAGAATCCATATTTTTGAATGCGTATGAAAGGAAAAAAAATAAAATTTTATACAGCACATACCCTGGGTGTCTGAGAGTTCTGCGCAGGATCTTGGGTGCTCCTAACACTCTACTCTTGGACGGAGAGCTCTGATGTTTAGATTTTTATTTTTTTTTATTTTTAGATTTTTATTAATATTTGTAGGCCGCCCTTTTCCCTGAGGG